TTTGCTTTTTTGACCGCCTCTGCACACTGCATGGACATTTTCAGAGAACTATCCACGATGACTCCAAGATCTTTTTCCTGACTTGTTGTAGCTAAATTAGCCCCCCATCATATTGTATGTATAGTTGGGGTTATTTTTTCCAATGTGCATTACTTTACATTTATCCATTTTTACATTTATCTATTCTTAGTAAAGCGAAAACCAAGGCTAAAATCTTGAGATCCCTGACAAATGGGAAAGGAATGGTTGTTAGCAACTTTCACAGCAGGAATTACACAACTGTTGTGCCTCATTGCAGGGTGTGTCTGTCTATAGAGAGGAAGAGCTTGAATTCCTTTTCGCTAGAGGAGGAAAAATAGCTGCTCTGTCCCAAAAGGTGTGTTGGAAGCATGACCGGACAGCTGGGCCTTACTAGCAAATCAGACCCATAAAAGAGAGTCTGTGCAAGAAGCTTTGGGGACCGGGATAACAGTAGCATGCGAAGAAGCTGGCATTAGCCTAGCCGCCAGCTGCCCACTGGCAGAAATTCATGCTTAGCCCCCCTCTTATGGCCCAGCTAATCACTGCCGCCGCTCAGCTCTGGGGATTGACTGGCTAGTCTACACTGGCAACGCTAAAAAACCACCTCCAGCAGGGGCGGCCGCGTAGCTGCCAGCGCGGGTGCACTGTTTACAGGGGCGCTTTCCAGCGCTGACGCTCGCTGAGCTCAGGGGGGTGTTTTTTCACACCCCTAAGCGAGAAAATTGCCACGCTGTAAATTGCCGGGGCAGACAAGCCCTAGCCGCCTGCAGCGGGCTGGCCCCCTCCCAGACCGCGGGGCGGGAGGAGGGAGACGAGAAGAGGGTAAGGCGCCTGCCGAGCCGGGAGCCGCCCCTGGCGTCACCTGCTTCCCCGCAGCTCGGCCGGGAGCGGAGACCGTTGGGCTGCTGCGTAGCCCCCCGGAAGATCTTTCGGCGGCGGCCCGGGCTGACGCGCCTCGCAGGCCGGCAGCGGGTGAGCAGATGCAGGAGGGCGGGGAGCCGCGTGCCCGCGGGGTGTTTGCAGCGGGGGGGACACAGGACGTGGCTCGCTGTCAGGCGGGGTCTCCTGAATTATAACCGCTTGGGGCAGAGCCCGTGTTTCCCCCCAGGGCCGTGCGATGCCCAGTGACCCTGCTGGGTCTGGGCACTGCTGTGTCAGGCACGCAGTGGAGGATGACGGGGGGAGTGTGTGCAGTACCCGGGGCACAGCCTCCTCTCCCGCCCGCAGGGTACGCGCCGTCTCGGGGTGGCTTCCAGAGCAGGCCCGTGTTAACGTGTCGGGTCTGACGGGCGAGAAAGGAAACGGCGGGGCCCAAGCTAAGGTCTGTGTTTCCCCCCGAGGGGCTGCCTCACGCGCTGGCCCCTTTAACGGCAGGATTCACGCCGTGCCCGAGGCGGTCCGGCTTCCCAGCTCTTTCTTTGTGTCTGGCAATCACAGGCAACTCCCCGGAATGGCTAGAGAGGGGCGCGATTCTGGGACTTGTGCGGTGAGCCGTGATTTGGCACCCAGGGCTGTTGCCGATCTTGTTGTTTGCAGTATGTTTGCTGTAGTTGGCTGCTCTAGGGTTTATCGCACCGTCCCCCTCCGTCTCCCTCTTCTGCCTCAACAGCAATGTTGCATTAGCAGCCTCGGGCATTGTGCCTGTGCTTCTTAGATACGTGGCGGGCACAAAGTCAGCTCTAAAAGGATGCGTTAGGCAAGAAGGGCGGTTTGAGAGCAGAAAGCTAGCAGAACACTTGAATGCATGTCAGGTTATCAAAGTGCAGTGCCGTAAGTACAGGAAGATACCAGTCAGACTTGTACAGGGCAAGATTCTTCCACACTTAGAACGCTCTGGAGTTTCTTGCTGTCAGGATAGTCCCGTTAAAAGTAAGCGCAGTCGCTTGAGCAGATCATTAGAATCATGCCCACAGAGACTAAAGTACTATATATCAGCTCATCCTGCCCACCATGTATAGAGTTTGAAGAGATGTAGGGCAAGTCAAGTGACTTTATATTGGTTTAGGATAATGGCAAAATAAAAATAAGCCTAACGTCCAGGGAACTTCAGAAGGTATGTGTTTGCAAAGAGGGATTTGTGTGAAGAGAGAGACAGTCAGTTCATACTGATAGTTGTGTCGAATTGGCCAAAGAACATTAAACCATGGCAGCTGTGAATGCCATTCAAATCTGAGACTTCCAAAAGCCAGGAACCTTTTGCTGTTAACTGTCAATTGCTTAAATATGTCTGACTTTCCCATTGCATATGCCTGGATGTATTGAGTCCTTGTGTGACTCTGTTGATTCAGGGGAGTTCACCGGGGATGAATTTAGACGGTTGGCTTGTTTTTACTGAACCAGCCCTTCAGAGACTTATGAAATGACACTGGCAGAATTGTTCAGTTCATATTTCTGTTTTGTATTTGGGCTAATGCTGAATGATGTATCTAGCTGCAACAAAGAAGGATATTAAACAGCATCTTAACTAAAGCTAGTTGATTCTAAAATTAGCAGCTCCCAACAACTTGCATTCAAGAGTTTTAATGGAGTTGGTTCCAGACTACAGGTATTAATTTTGAATAGATCTTGGTAAAATTTCAGAGGACTGGAAGAAGGCCAGTGTTGTGGCAATACTTTGTTTTCCATTTAAAAATAACTCAAGCTAATTACAGGCTGGTAAGTCTTATATTGAGCCCAAGTAAAATAATAGAAAGGCTTATATTGAACTGTGTCAATAAGGAATTAGAGGCCAAAAATATAAGTTATGCCAATTAGTATGGTTTCATGGAAAATGCCTTGTGAAAGAATCACATTTGTTTGACAAAATTGAGTGTGGTTGATAAAGGTAACTGATGTGGTTTACTTGGATTTCTGTAAGGCATTTGACTTATGAGCGACACCAATTTTTTAAAATAGCATTATACAAAATTAACAGCCATTTTTAAAAATCCATTTAAATTGAGCTAACTGATAGCAGATAAACAGTGTTAGTGGGTGGAAAGTAACAATGGTTGATCTCTGAGAGCCTGCCATCTGGATCACTCAGTAAACTGGGCACAATTGAACATGTTTGAAGTACTGCCAAGTGAGAAGTCATATGTTTAGGGATAAAGAATGTAGACCATACTTAAAAGATGGGGGACTATCCCACAAAGCAGTGATTCTGTGAAAAGAATTCAGGAATCATTGTAGATGACTAAGTGACTGTGAGGTCCTGTCCCAATGTGATGCAGTGGCAAAAGGGCTAACCGAGTTCTCTCTTTACACATCCAAGGATTATCAAGTAAGAATAGGGAGATAGCATCTCTATATAGGACATGGGTGAGAGCATTACTGGGTTACTGCATCTAGTTCTGCTCTCCACACTTCAAAAAGAACATTGAAAAATTAGGGAGATCAGAGAAGAATCTTATTGTAAGATGTGTTTTCCAGAACTCAATCTGTTTATCTTATAAAAGAGAAGGTTAAGTTTTGACTTTATCATAGTCTGCAAGTTTCTACACAAGGAGATGATATGAAGGGGTTCCTTAATTTAACAGACAAAAAGCCTCACAAAATCCAGTGACAGGAAATCTCAAGTGGAAAAAATTCAAAATGACACAACTTCTTAAATGAGTCAACCACTGGAATGAATTACTAAGGGAAGTGGTCATTTGGACTCCTTAAATGCAGATGTTCTAGTTTAACTACAAGTTATTGGACTTGACAACAGAGCCAGTAGTTCCCCTTTTGCTGCACCATATTCTGGGGCAGTGTACCACAGAACAAGGAGTGCTAATGGCTAGCTGGTGTTGGAGGAGATGGTTCTGCTTCAGCTTTGAGTCCTCCACCCCCTCTCCCTTTCCTCCAAGGAGTAGAGAAAGGTAGGTCAGGAAGAATAATTATCTCCACTACACGAATTACTGGGTAAAATTCTGTAGTTTGTGTTATGCATTAGATGATCACAATGGCCCCATCTGACCTTAAAGTTTGTGAAAAGATGACGGATCCTCTCATGTGACATTACGAAGGCTGAAGTGGTAGAAGTCCAAAGGCTACTGCTGTATAAATGCTGCTGTTCTTAGTGTATAAGAACTTGGAGGTCTGTTGACAGGCAGGAATGTGCTGCAAGTCTTTTATTTTTGATTTTGGTGCCTCACAAAGAACCGAGAAATCGGTAAAATTTGAGCAGTCCCATAGCAACAGAATGATCTGGTGTTCCTTTCCTAGTTACCTGCTGTATCCATGCCAGTCATCAAATAAAATAATACGTAGGAAGTAAAGCTCCTTAGTAACTGTTTGTTAACCCAATCCTGCTGGAAAGGTATAACAAGTGGGGTTCTGCAGGGGTCTGTTTTGGGACCGGCTCTGTTCAATATCTTCATTAACAACTTAGATATTGGCATAGAAAGTACGCTTATTAAGTTTGCAGATGATACCAAACTGGGAGGGATTGCAACTGCTTTGGAGGACAGGGTCATAATTCAAAATGATCTGGACAAATTGGAGAAATGGTCTGAGGTAAACAGGATGAAGTTTAACAAAGACATATGCAAAGTGCTCCACTTAAGAAGGAAAAATCAGTTTCACACATACAGAATGGGAAGAGACTGTCTAGGAAGGAGTACTGCAGAAAGGGATCTAGCGGTTATAGTGGACCACAAGCTAAATATGAGTCAACAGTGTGATGCTGATACAAATAAAGCAAACGTGATTCTGGGATGTATTAACAGGTATGTTGTGAGCAAGACACGAGAAGTCATTCTGCGCTGGTTAGGCCTCAACTGGAGTATTGTGTCCAGTTCTGGGCACTGCATTTCAAGAAAGATGTGGAGAAATTGGAGAGGGTCCAGAGAAGAGCAACAAGAATGATTAAAGGTCTTGAGAACATGACCTATGAAGGAAGGCTGAAAGAATTGGGTTTGTTTAGTTTGGAAAAGAAGACTGAGAGGGGACATGATAGCAGTTTTCAGGTATCTAAAAGGGTGACATAAGGAGGAGGGAGAAAACTTGTTCACCTTAGCCTCTAAGGATAGAACAAGAAGCAATGGGCTTAAACTGCAGCAAGGGAGGTTCAGGTTGAACATTAGGAAAAAGTTCCTAACTGTCAGGGTGGTTAAACACTGGAATAAATTGCCTAGGGAGGTTGTGGAATCTCCATCTCTAGAGATATTTAAGAGTAGGTTAGATAAATGTCTATCAGGGATGGTCTAGACAATATTTGGTCCTGCAATGCGGGCAGGGGACTGGACTCGATGACCTCTCGAGGTCCCTTCCAGTCCTAGAATCTATGAACCCCCAAAACATCCCCTGTGTGGTAGAAATTGTCCCCATTTTACAGTAGGGGAAGCTGAGACACTGAGTAGTTAAGTGATGTTCAAGACAAAAGCATAGGGAATCAGTGTTGAGGGATGGATTGGATTTAGGAGTTCCTGGCTCACATTTTCACGATTGGACCACTAGTCCTTCAACCTCTTGGATCCAAAGCTATTTAGATAGATTAGGGGTGTCACCTTCATTTTTGGCAGAGGGTTAATGCCGTTTTTAAAAAGCCTGTGGAGGGGTTATAAACAGTACCAGAGACTAACCTCCGTTCACAGTGGATCTCCCATTGTGCAAGCCTCCCACTGATCTCAAAGATCAAAGGTAGGTGTAACAGGGTGGCTTGCCCCTTAAGGGCTGCAGGGCCTGGGACTAGCCAACCCTGATTACTGAATAGGCCACACCTGAGATCAAGAACTTCCCCTATAAAGAGCAGCAGGAGGCTGCAATGAAGGTGAGAAGCTCAGGAAAACTGCAGGGAGTAAAAAAGGCTCCTGCAGGAAATACCCTGACTTAAGAGGAGGGTGGAGGGTAGAACCTGGTGAGCAGGAGGCTCCGGTGGGAAAGTCTGACTGGGTTTGTCTGGAGTTAGACAACTTTGATTACTAAGGGGGTGCTTCTGAGCAGGAATCACCTGCTTCCCCAGTAAGAGCAGAAGGAAGAAGCCAGGCTCCTGACCCTGCAGAGTTCTCACCGAGTAGGCTCTTATAGAGAAACTTGAAACTTTGGGAGTGAGGCAACAGGCAGGAAAGGCCTAGGAGAATGGATGGACTTAAACTTTATTTTGAATGTTGGTTAACTTAATAAAGCAGAACCCAAGAGGGGATGGAAATGGATAAGTGTGTTTGGGTATATTAAGGGGAAAAGGGAAAAACAAAGCAGAGCACTGCAGACTGACTCCAAGGGCACCAGAGGATGCTCAGGAGGCAGCCAGGCTTACTACAATAGGATATGGCTCTTGCGTAGTAGTTAACTTTCCAGTTACTATATTTACTGTTTAAGTGCCTTATTGCTGTCTCTCCACTGAGTGCTGCCCTTTAGGACCACAGCTGTTTCTACTCTTTCATTATCTTTATTCCTTCTCCATCTTCCTTTGTGTGTCTCTTCTCCTTTCTTCAGCCTCCTTTCCCTTCTGCTGCAACTTCCAGTCTCCCCCTCTGAGCTTTGTGCCTACCCACTTTCACTTCTATTAAAATGATCAGCAGTGAAATTCTTTAAATATCAATGTTAACTATCATCATTAGGCTTTAGAATTCAGTGAAATGAATGGAGATGGAAAACTTGCCATGACAGGCTGGCTGCAGTCTCTGGTAGACTTCATTGCTTTGGTTTGCACTTGGTTCACATTTTGAATGTTTTCTTCACAGCCTGATGGGTAGAAATTAGTGTGACCAGATAGGAAGTGTGAAAAATCAGGACGGGGAATGGGAGAGGAATAGGGTCCTATGTAAGATGCCCCTAATATCAAGACAGTCCCTATAAAATCAGGACATCTGGTCACCCTAAGAGAAACTAACTTTTTATTAATGAGAGCTGGGGTTCTGTAGAACCTGTAATTGTCATGGGTGGGCCACATAATTAGAACAAACTTTCAGAACCCTTGACAATACTATTGTAGGTATTTTGATCGGTATTCATAGGTATACAGCCCACACACTACTGAATTTATTCCCCCCAACATTTCAGTGAGGTATGGGAGTATCATTATCTCCACTTTGGCACCTTGGTCCCCATCTTGAATCTCCAAATCCTATTTCCCTTATAAAGGATGGTTTTGTAGATTTCCCCCCCACCCCCAACATTAAATATTTCGAGCTAAGGAGTGTAATCCTAACTCATGACTGTGCTCTTGCTTCCAGATATAGGAAGAAACATGAACGGGAACAAAACAAATTGTGTCCTGCTCACTGGCTTCATTATTCTGGCTGTGTTTTGCAGTTCTGGTAGGTATCCTGAAGTGTCTACATTAAAGGGCAAATTATGATCCCAGCATCAGATCCAAATAGCTGTGCTGGTGCTGAGCAAATATGCGGGGGGAGGATCCTCTCACCACTTTCCTTCAGGTGTCAGAACTGCTTCCCAGAAGCTATTCTGGACCACTAGCTACAGTAGGCTCAGTGATCCCTTGTGCTGCGCAGCTCCTGGGAAGTATACACCTGCCCTTGCTGAACTTAGCCACACCTGGTTTTGCTAGAGTTCTGTGGCGGAGGTCTGCCAATCTGTATCTTTTATGCAGCATGCATTGCATTGCAAACAGCAAACCAATTGCAGCCCAGTGCAATAGCAGAATTCTATTTCAGCAATAGAATATCAGATTAAGGTTGAATTATGTAAATATTTATACAATAATATTAATATGGCACAAATCAAGGGCAAGCAGATTAAGAGCTTGGGATATGGACTTGATATAGATGGAATTCCAAGTTGCATAGGATGTGTTTTGACTCTATCCAGATCAGCATCAAAGGCGCAGGCTATTACACAGCTGTCTTAAGTAGGGTGCATGTGGAAATAAATTTATAGAGGATTCCCTGAGACCATCCTACATGGAATGTTAAGTTCTAATTCTTACTACTTATTTAAAAATCCTAATGCTGAAGTAGGTACTTTGCCAGTTATAAACTAAAAAATCTTTTCAAATTTCTCTACCATGAGGGAGAGGTGGGTGGGTGAGAGCGAATGCGCACATGCACATACCAGCATGTATAAAGGGGACAGGGAGAGAATCCCATGTCTCTTCCTTTTGCAAGAAGGCAGGGGGAATTCCTCTCTTCCTCTTGATCTCCTTCTTTTCACTTCCCCCTTTCTAATAATTTCCTCCCCCTGCCCCAGAGAAAAGGGACTTGACAACACATTAAAGAAAGGGTTATGTCTTGGCCTTTCAAATGAGAGACTTCACACTGAAGCAGGTTTGAATAGGGAGCATGTCTATACAAATGAAAAACTTCTGACAGATCTCTTCATGTTGCTAATAACCAATGCTAGCAGTAACCCCTGACATTCATAGTTGTACAGTAACCGTATTTATTTAGAAAAGAACAAGAGCACCTTACACTTTTGGTGCCTCAGTTAATTAAAAAAACTGGAAAAAATCAGCCTAAAGAGAAGAAACAGCAACACTACAAATTATTGCACTACAATCACCTATTATCCAGACAGCACAATCAGATCTAAAAAAGAATTCCCCATTATTTTGCATACATCACCACACAGGCCGTGGTCATTTCTTTGTCTGTCTTTCAAAATGATCCTTGCAGCGTGTCTTGAATGGAGCAAAAGGTAAGAGGGCCCTCACAGGAAATATCCTTCCACCAACACCTGGTATACCAAGAGGACTCATCTCTTGCAGATCTCAACTGTATGAAGAGAGACACAGTCTCTCGGCTAGGATGTTCTTAAAATACTTATTGCTTTACAGAGCAATACCAAGAACTTTCACTTCATCTGGACTCCATAATCAGCCCATCTGGATCACAAAGTATTGGTTGAATATGCACGTGAGAAGACATCTCACTCACCAAGCAAGCTGCCACATTGTGCACTTGCCTTTGTTTCTGAATGCCTTTAAGGTGTAGTCGCAGGTAATCCAGTCTTGCTTTGACAAAGGCATCCTCTAAACTGGTGAGGTCCATATTGGAAAGGTAAGGCTGTAGCCTCCTAGCCAGTAAAAAGCCATCTTTACTGCTGCTGAAAGCTGATCATTGAGTGATAACCAGAAATCTAATGAGAATCCAGGTTGGGAACATGTACATCCATTGCATATATCACACCTCTCCAGCTGGTGTTACTTTTACCATATCTGCTTTCCCCACATCGCCCCAATCTAGATGCATTGAGCCTCAGCCAGTTTGCTTTCCTCCATGCCCTATATTTAACTCCACTGTCTGGGTCAAATAAGAGAGAAACACAAAGCTGGGTGACATCGGTATGTCAAACACTACAATCCATGCTTCTTCACTAACCCTCCTTGTACCTTTTTGTATATAAAGTTGACCAAGAGAATGCCTCACGAGTGTCAGGTCACAGTAGTAATTATCCAACAGTTCCAGCTGAGAGAACTCTGAGAGGCTTTGTGTTTGTTGCTCAAACAGCAACATCAGATCCATAAGTATGTCATTGATGCCTTGTGATCAGCAGTCCTGTAAGCACTTGTTCAATCTGGTATCAGAAAGCTATTTGATCATCATCTATGGCTGAGAGATCCTCCATCAACACAACAAGAGCAGTCTCTGCACCATACCCAAGATGGGACTTGGATTGAACTGTCAAGGAAATCTGAGGCATCGAGATGTGGTGGTGGGACAACTCTCACAACTTTTTGATCTTTATTGCAAAGGGAAGACTCAATGCAAGGTGGCAATGGTCCAGACTGTCATCTTAAAATGATGTAATTTTGAAAAGACTGTACCAAGGCCTCTAAGTGTGTATCTGGCAGTTTTTCTCTTATTGTAGGAAGCAAGGTCGGTTTCCTGCAGCACTGAGCCCAGCACTTCCCCACTGGCCTTTGCCAACCTGGAAGGACGTAGTTCTCTTAACCCTCCAGTACCTCAGAGCGGAGCGCCATTGGCCAAAAAAAGTGATTACTTGATACTTGAGTCCATGGCCTCACAGTATGTTCCAAATAGCTTCTTTAGAGTGCAATGATTAGAGGGTTCACAGGAACACTGACACTCCATCTTGCATAGGGCAGTTTTGAGAAACATAGTGTGTGAACACAGGCACATGGACTTAAGATATGTCTGTACTCTAAGTACAGACACTGCACACCCAGGTAGCAAGGTTATAAGTAGCAGTGTAGATGGTGATGCACAGCTTAGCAGAGTAGAGTACTCGACATACCTGAACCCCTACACAGGCTCTCTCCACACCTAAGCAATGCCTCCCATGTCTATACTGTTATTTTTAGCAGTGTCGTGTCCAGCTGCTTCCCCATTTCTGCTTCATTTGCTGTTCTTGATCCTTCAATGAAGGACTATGGTTGTGACTTCACTGCAGGAAAAGAGGGGCTCTGAGGGAGGGAGGAAATAATGTGGTTGGCAGACATGCTAAAATGTGATGTGAAAGGTCTGAATGGATTTATATTGAGTATGATGTATCTGAGACCTGTCCCTAATACAAAAGTCTCTACTTTTATAGGGCGAAGTCCTGATCTCATTGCAGGGAACAGTTGCCTTTAGCTTCAAGAAGAGCAGACTTCAGCCCATAGTGCTCAAAGTTTGGTAGGAATGTTACAGAACAAACAAGACATAGTCCATGCCCCAGAGGCTTGCAGTCTTACTTAGGACAACTTGGGGTTAGGGAGGAAAAGGAAGGAAGAGTATTATAATAACTTATATGCATGTCTTGGTGGTACTGCTATTTCTTTTATTTCTACACTGGAACATGCATTCCAACAGCGACATGGGCTTGGAATAAAGTCAGAGGACTGAGCATGTGGAAGGGGAGGGTAGGAATAATGTGGGAAAGTGAGGAGTGAAAGCAGTAGGGCTAGGATTAGGACTGATGTCATTGGCAGCAAAGAAGAGATGCAGGGGAACTGCTAGAACAGGAAGTGAAGGAAGAGACTGGTAAAGTGATGGGATGGTAAGAGGTGGAATTAATGAGAGCAGAGAAGGGAAAGGTAATGGAGGAGGAGGGGTGGGAGGAGTGGAGCTAGGAGGAGGTAAGGGTCAAGGAAGATCAAGGTCAAAGATTTTGGTGAAGTGAACGGGTGGGGCAGTACAGATGTCACTGGTAAAACAAAGGAGAAAAGGATGATAATGGAATGGAGGTTGCAGGTTCAGGCAGTGTGGAGCAGCAGTTACATGATCTGTTTAAATCCAGCTCCAGTTACTCTGGACCTTGTTGGAGTCAGGTCCCCTGCCAACTGCTAAAACTCAGGCTGTTTGGAGCAGGAAGCAGTAGAGTTATGTAAATCTATCTCCCTGGACTCCTGTGGATGTATTAGGAGCTGAATTTGACTTCAGTGTTGGAATCAGAATCCGAATACTAAAGGATTAGGTGGTTTGACCTAAAAGTTGCAGTACTTAAACCAGATTATCATGGGGTTATGGTTCAGGGATTTATAACTGTTTTGACCTAACAATAATCTTGAAAAGTCACACTTATTTCAGAACATCAAATGTACAAAGAGAAAGTTTATTACTTAGTAACTGGCTTCTTTCCTCTCTCTCTCAGGATATATGCTGAAGTGTTACAACTGTCCACTTACTGCTCTGCCATGTAAGACCAATATTACCTGCCCAAGTGACACTGATTCTTGCCTATGGATTAAAAGTGGTATGTTTACACTCCCAAATGTGGTAGACTTAAAATAAATACAGTAATTATATTCATTCAATTTTAATGATTCCAGTGTAATCAAATAGGTTTTATTTCTACAGTCTGTATGAATGTCCATCTGAAGTACACTCTTACTGAAGTCCTTGTTGGTTCCTTCAGCTTTACGTAGGATTGTGTGCATTAATACAGTTTGAACTGTTATAACTATGGATGTTCCAACACAACTGTGGGGACATAGTTTTATGGTTTAAAAAGAGATTCTGTTGTGCAGTTAAGCATCCAACAGACTGCTCTGTTGAATGACTGGTGGACGTGTGGGGAAACTTGTAAAAGGAGGAAATCTCACTGCCAGCTGGGAGGCCAGCACTCTCCAGTTCACTGATTTAGGATTGGGGTATATGTTGCTTCTTTATGCCAAGTGGTATATGCCTGAGAAGTACACAGAACTTTCATTTTCACTGCAGTCCAATTTGGAAACTGAATTGTAGGCTTCTACTCTATGCCTGCCAGCATTGTCCCCTGCTTCGCATTCCAGCTAGAGATGAGTGCAAACCAGCATTCCAGAAACTAGGACCTAAATTTCATAGCTGATTCCATTTGGCCAGGGTGGGCACTGGAAGGCCATCTCCACCCTTTGCTGGTCTTATATTATAATATGTAAGAGCCGCTTGCCTGCAGATTGCAGTGCTTGGGATGAGAGATGAGCCAGAGCCACAAAACTCAGGGATATCTCTTTGTGTGTGTGTGTGTGTGGTGTCTGTTATGACCATCTATTGAAATAAGTCCACCTGTGAAATTCAGATTCTTAGATAAGAAGTTCTGATTTGGATTCATCTCTACCTGCTATGTCCCAAACAGCTCACAAGAGCATTCTGTTATAACAAAAACCAAGGCGGGGAAATCCCTGTGAATATCTAATGTATCCTTGAATACCCTTGTGAAACAGTTTTCTCTACAGGGAAGCTAGTAATTTTTGCATAACTTCTTCCTTATTTTTTTTTTTTTTAGGTGACAGGACGCTCTCTGATTGCTATAAATATTCCAACTGCGACATGAACGGAATTAAAGAGAAATACAAGTTTGACAACTTTAATTTCAAATGTTGCCAAAAAGATCTGTGTAACAGGAGTCAAACCACAATGATTAGTACAGCAGTCTTCAGCGTTGCTACCGTGATGACCATGATCTGGATACTCTGCTTTTAAGATGGAGGGGAAAAAATATAATTTTGTTTTCTTAAATACCTACTGATTTATAAATCATACATATAAACATGCTGTCTATTGTATACAATTTTTGTGCCTAGAGCAGTTGTGTTTGAGAAAGCAGACTTAAAAAAAACAGTTGTTGGAAAAGCTATATGTTAAAATGTAGGGAAAGTACATCTGTAGTGGTAGATAATTATAACTTCTATCAAGAATCTGCAGTTATGTGTTATCTGGAGTAAATTCTTTCCCTTGCTTGCAGTGAGTTTCACATCTCTGATCTGATTTGAGTTTGTCCTTTGCACTCCAGTTGTGGCAATGTTACATAGCCTTTCAAAGGTGTAAGCCATTTTTTAAAGTCAGACTATTGTTTGTGAAACTGTTAGGAATTGGTCTTGCCCAGCAGCTTTTCCTTTATTTTCTTATGTAATTGTTTCTGCTTGAAAATATGTTTAACAAATGCACCTAACTCCCCATATCAGGTCATAATTGCTTTTTTGTAGAACACTTATAACTGCCAAAATTGTATTATTAGTGGTACTGCTTTGTGGCTAATGCACTGCATGTTTATACATGAAATGACTCTCGACAGTCTGTTTTGTTGTAAAGTGTAGTGACTCAGACTGGGGTGATATTTACAGTCCCTCTCATATTCCTGGAGAACTTCTGTAGGAGAACTTCTCCTTTCTGAGAAGTAATGTAAATACACTGAGGGGCATGCTCCTACTTCACTTAGAGAAGGGGTGAAGTGAATTACCACTGTCCTTTTTTTTTTTTGGTATGCTTGAGATCTTTAATCTGTGGCATCTAGAGTTTCCTATGCTGAGCACTACACTTCATCTTGGCGACTCTCTTTGAACAGATTGTAAAGGCACCATGATGCAACTGATGGCAAGTTTTTTTTCCTTCAAAATGATTTATCCACTTAAACCATTCTGTAACTTCAGTGATCATTCAGACTCAGCAGTAATGTGGGGTGATAATAAAATATGAGCTGTGACTGGTTTATTTACCCAAATGTGAGAATTATAGTGCAATGTAGAAATCTCAAGACGTGCAGAGGGGTCCTCTATCGAGGAAGGGATCTTTCACAACCTAGGGTAGTACACGGGGCATCTGCACAGTTGGCTCCTCATCACTACTACAGTCTGTTACACCTTGCATACCTATCCACAAGGCTAGGTTTTTAGCCTTTAGATAATATGATTCACGGACCTAATGACTACAGCTATACTGCATTTCTCCTCCCTCGCCCACTGTCCTAGGTAGTGATTGCCTGAGTAGCTTCTTTTATCCACCAGAAGGAAGGTGTTTCCCTAGTGTGCTGGGCCTCCTGGGTCATTTCATTCATAAAGAGCTCTTGCTACAATGAAATGCATCATAGTGCAGTAATGTTGCAAAAAAAGCAAATGCAAATTTGGGGTGTATTAACAGAGGCATAATGTGATAGTACCCCTCTACTCCTATTCACGTCAGCAGGGCCTTATGTATTCACCCCAGGCTGCTAGAGGAATTATCCGAAGAAATCTGGGCACCACTGGCAATATTTGCAAATTCATGCATGGCAGGAGAGAAGAGAAAAAAGGAGGAGCTGGTGAACTATAGCCCCTCAGTTAGATCTCAATAGCTGGGAAGCTACTGGAGCAATGTATAAAACATTCAGTTTGCAGATACTGGGAGGATGAAGGGGTGACCACCAGTAGCCAGCCATTTACTAAGAGCAAATCATGCCAAACTAGTTTGATTTCCTTCTTTGACAGAGTAACTGGTTTAGTGGATAGGGGGAATATGACAGATATAATATACCTTGAATTTAGCAAGGCTTTTGACATAGTCCTATGTGACATTCTGATAAATAAGCTGAAGAAATGTGGCATTAGTGGAACTACTATTAAATGGATACATAATTGGTTAAACAACCACAAACAATGAGTAACTGTTAATGGAATAATGTCGGATTGGAAGGAGGTTTCAAGTGGGGTTCCACAGGGATTTGTTTTGGGTCTGGTGTTATTTCACATCTTTATTAATTATCTGGATGTAGAAATAGAGAGCACACTGACCCTTGCAGATGACACAAAGCTGGGGGTGGTGGTGGTTTGCAAACACTTTGGAGGATCAAGCTAAAATAAAGCTAAAATTCAAAGGGATCTTGATAAATTGGGGACGTGGGCTATCCACAACAAAATGAAATTCAGTGAAGACAAATGTAAGGTGCTACATGTGCTACATCAAATGCTCTTTAATGTTTTTAATGACATAAATACTTCTGGGAATTGTGAGATTTTTAACTTCCCAGATATAGATTGGAGGACAAATGCTACTAATAAAAGGGCTGTTTTAGATTTGATATTGGTGAGTAGTGAGGACCTCAGAGAAGAACTGGCTGTAGAGAACAACCTTGGTTTGGGTGATCATGAGTTAATTCAGTTTAAATGGAAGGATAAAAAAAATAGATCTGCAACAAGGGTCCTTGATTTCAAAAGAGCTAACTTTTTAATAAATGAAGGGAATTAGGGAAGTGGACTGGACCAAAGAACTCAAGCTCTGAATGTGGAGGAGGCTTGGAATTACTTTGTCAAAGTTGCAGAAGCTATCTGAAGCCTTCATCCCAAGCAAGGGGAAAAATTCATAGGGAAGGGTTGCAAACAGGTGATTAAGTAAAAGCAGAAACCCTACAAGGAATGGAAGATGGAAGGGATCAGCAGGGAAAGCTACCTCTTGGAGGTCAGAAAGTGTAGGGATAAAGTGAGTACTGCCAAAAGCCAAGCAGAGTTGGACCTTGCAAAGGGAATTAAAACCAATAGTAAAGGTTCTCTAGCTTTATAAATAGAAGAAGTGGGACCACTAAGCACTGAGGATGAGATGGAGATTAAAGATTATGTAGCTATGGTCCAACCCCTAAACAAGTGATTTGCCTCAGTTTTTAATGAGGCTAATCAATAGCTTATGGGTAGTGGCAGGGTGGCTAATGGCAGCAAGGATACGGAGGTAGACATTACCACATCTGAGGTAGAAGTCAAACTCAAACAGCTTAATGGGACCAAATGGGGGGCCTGGATAATCTCCATCCAAGAATATTAAAGGAACTGGCACATCCTTTCTGTATTGGGGGGCCCAAACTGGACCAGATATGGCCTCACCAGTGCCGAATAGAGGGAAATAATCATTTCCCTTGATCTGCTGGAAATGTTCCTACTAATGCAGCCCAATAGGCTGTTAGCCTTCTTGGCAACAAGGGCACACTGTTGACTCTTATCCAGCTTCTTGTCCACTGTAATCCCCAGGTCCTTTTCTGCAGAACTGCCGCTTAGCCAGTCGGTCCCCAGCCTGTAACAGTGCATGGGATTCTTCCTTTCTAAGTGCAGGACTCTGCACTTGTACTTGTTGAACCTCATCAAATGTCTTTTGGCCCAATCCTCCAATTTGTCTAGGTCACTCTGGACCCTATCCCTACCCTTCAGCATATCTACCTCTCCCCCCAGTTTAGTGTAATCCGCAAACATGTTGAGGGTGCAATCCATCACATCATCCAGATCATTAATGAAGATGTTGAACAAAACCAGCCCCAGGACAGACCCTGGGGCATTGTGCTTGATACCGGCTGCCAACTATACATCGAGCTGTTGTTCACTACCTGTTGAGCCGATGATCTAGCCAGCTTTCTATCCACCTTATAGTCCATTCATCCAATCCATACTTTAACTTGCTAGCAAGAATACTGTGGGAGACCATATCAAAAGCTTTGCTAAAGTCAAGGTATATCACATCCACCGCTTTCCCCGTATCCACAGAGCCAATTATCTCATCATAGAAGGCAATCAGGTTGGTCAGGCATGACTTGCCCTTGGTGAATCCATGTTAACTGTTCCTGATCACCTTCCTTTCCTCCAAGTGCTTCAAAATGGATTCCTTGAGGACCTGTTCCATGATTTTTCCAGGGACTGAGGTGAGGCTGACCAGTCTAGTTCCCCGGATTCTCTTTCTTCCCTTTTTAAAAGATGGGCACTATATTTGCCTTTTTCCAATCGTCTGGGACCTCCCCTGATCACCACAAGTTTTCAAAGATAATGGCCAATGGCTTTGCAATCACATCAGACAACTCCCTCAGCACCCTTGGATGCATTGCATCCAGCCCCATGGACTTGTGCATGTCCAGCTTTTCTAAATAGTCCTTAATATTTTCTTTCACCACTGAGGGCTGCTCACCTCCTCTCCATACTGTGCTGCCCAATGCAGCAGTCTGAGAGCTGACCTTGTCTGTGAAGAGTGAGGCAAAAAAAAGCATTGAGTACTTCAGCTTTTTCCACATCATCTGTCACTAGGTTGCCTCCCCCATTCAGTAAGGGTCCCACACTTTCCCTGACCTTCTTCTTGTTGCTAACATACCTGTAGAAATCCTTCTTGTTACACTTCACATCCCTTGCTATCTGCAACTCCAATTGTGCTTTGGCCTTCCTGATTATATCCCTGCATGCTCAAACAATATACTCCTCCCTAGTCATCTGTACAAGTTTCCACTTCTTGTAAGCTTACTTTTTGTGTTTAAGATCACTGAATATTTCTCCAAGCCAGGGGTTGGCAACTTTTCAGAAGTGGTGTGCCGAGTCTTCATTTATTCACTCTAATTTAAGGTTTTGCATGCCAATAATACATTTTAGCATTTTTAGAAGGTCTCGTTCTATAAGTCTATAATATATAACTAAACTGTTGTTGTATGTAAAGTAAATAAGGTTTTTAAAATGTTTAAGAAGCTTCATTTAAAATTAAATTAAAATGCAGAGCCCCCCCGGACCGGTGGCCAGGACCCGGGCTCTGTGAGTGCCACTGAAAATCAGCTCGCGTGCTGCCTTTGGCACGTGTCCCATAGGTTGCCTACCCCTGCTCTAAGCCAAGCTGATTGCCTGCCATATTTGCTATTCTTTCTGCACATCGGGATGGTTTGTTCCTGTGCCCTCAATAAGGCTTTTTTAAAATACAGCCAGATCTCCTGGACTCCTTTCCCCCTATGTGCCTTCTCTTCCTCTGGCGGTTAGCCCGTGTAGAGTGTAACAATCTTCTACTGCTGCCTGTAGTACCAGAAGTCTGTGTGATGGATCTAAAGATTCTCAACCTGCTGATGAACCATGTAGGAATCAATATGGTTCCACATGATGGAATTTCTGCAGTGTTTTTTTTTTAGTTTGCTTTTTAATAACCTAGAGAATTGCAAACAAAAAAATACATTAAAAGAATGCTAAGAAAGTCAAGTATTTAAAAGCTAGGAAATGACAGAATTAAGGTTATCCATGTAACAATTAAAGTTTGGCAAAGTTATGCGCAACTAAAAACAGGCTCTTTTAATGGACAATGTCAGGGGACTGTAACTATAGGCAATACTACCTGCTCGACCTATAACAATCTATGCAGTTGGTGGGTGTAAAATACACTTGGTTTGTTGTAGAAAAAATAATGTAGGCAAATATGATAAACATTTTCCTTCTACTGTACTGCAAATACAGTTGGTGGAATGAACAGCACCTTTCACTCAAGGGGTAAGCAAATCTAGGTTTCTTGGATAACAAAGTTCTGGCTAGTTCTGAGCCATTGGCTTTGCTGAGTATAGTAAATAATAAGAGTGTGTTGCCATGGTAAGTCTATTCAGAAATGCAGAGAACTATAAAGTATAATTTGGGTTTGCAACCCACACGTATTCCAAGAATAGGCTGAACTTTAAATCCGAAATCAGCTGTGTGTTTGTGGATGTTTTTTGGCTAAAACTCTAGAGACTAGCAGATTGCTATCTGAACCAGGTAGCCTTTTCCCTGCCTACTGGAAGCAGAGGGATGGGACAGGAAGGGGAAGTATAAAACCCAGACCCTGCAGCTCAGTTGGGAGGGAGCTGCTAATGGAGACAGGTGAATCTTGTTGGTTGCTTGAGCCTGAAACTGATCTCAGCCATTCTGAGGACACCCCCAAGTGGTTGGTGCTGCTGTTTGACCATGATGCTGAGGAGCTGCTGGTGGCCATCTA